GAAGGAAGGAAGGAAGGAAGGAAGGAAGGAAGGAAGGAGGGAGGGAGGGAGGGAGGAAAGAAGGAAAGAAGGAAAGAAGGAAAGGAAAAAAGGAAGAAAAGAAGAAAAGAAGGAAACGAGAAGTAGACTTAAATTGCATCTCCCCCATGCCACCATAGTCATAAAGCCATGGCTACCCTAGAGGGCACTCAGGCTCCTGACCTGTGTTTCTCTCTGTTGTATTAGTCTTGGGCTGCCAACCTGTTGATTTGACATGAACCAAATACAACCAAACTTCTTACCACAAGTTCTTAGTTGGGTCTGCCCAGGTCCCATCCAAACCCTATGTCAGTAAAATTATAGGAGAAAGAACAACTAGCTGGTCTATAGTGTGTATAAAAGAGGTATCCCCAGTATAGTAGCAACTTCAAGTTCACATATTTCAAATTGATATGTTGTCTGTGAAATATGCTTTTTCTAAATAATTGACCTCTACTACTTTAATCCAGATTATAACTTAGAAGCAGTGACTGCTCACATTTTTTCTGAATGGCACAGCTGCTAGTAAATTACAGGTTACAAGCTAAAATATTTTCTTACACTAGTATTGACTAGTTAAGAAAATAAATGAGCCAGGCCCAGGTGGTTCACACCTGCAATCCTAGTTATTCAGGAGGCTGAGATCCGAGGATCGAGGTTCAAAGCCAGCCTGGGCAGGAAAGAAAAAGTGAGTAAGACTCTTATCTCCAATTAACTACCTAAAACCTGGAAATGGAGGTGATAATAGAAGTGGCAGACCACTATGTGGACAGCACCCAGGCACTGAATTCAAACCCCATGGCCAACAACAACAAACACAAGAAGAAATTAAAAATAAGTTAGTTTAGAAAAAATGGTATTTGAAGGTTTCCAATACAAAGAGTAGTAACTATCTGACATAATATGCTAATTACCTGCCTCTAATTACTTATACATGTACTGAAACATACCACACTGTTCCACACAAAATGTACAATTACTATGTATTTCATTAAAAAGATAACATTTTAAAATAACATGTGGCTTAGGGGCTGGGAATATGGCTTAGTGGTTGAGTGCTTACCTAGCATGCATGAAGCCCTGGGTTCGATTCCTTAGTACCACATAAACAGAAAAGGCTAGAAGTGGTATTGTGGCTCAAGTGGTAGAGTGCTAGCCTTGAGCAAGATGCTCAGGGACAGTGCCCAGGCCCTAAGTTCAAGCCACAGGACTGGTAAAAACAAGACAAAACAAAATATGCAGCTTAAAAACAACCATTTAAATAGGCACCACTGGCTCAGGCCTATAATCTTAGATACTCAAGAAGGTCAGTCCAGAAGAACTGAAGTTTGAAACAAGGCTGAGAAAAAAAGTCTTATGACAGGTATCTCCAATTAACCAGCAAAATCTAGATTGGAGGCATGGTTCACTTGATAAGAGTTGCCAAAAACAGGAAGAAAACTGAACAAGAATTTGAGGTCAAGTTTCAGGCTTGGGACTGGCACAGAAAACCAAGCAAACACCTATTTTAATGGAAGAGATAGAAAGGCAAGTGGGGGTGGGAAGGTGGCCCAGAATTCAGGCCACACAACCACCACCACCAACAACAACAAAAAGACAAAGGGGGCTGGGAAGGTGGCTCAGTGGTACAGTGCTTGCCTTGCATGCATGAGGCCCTGGGTTCGATTCCTCAGCATCATAAAAGCAGGAAAAAAAAAGCCGGAAGTGTGCTATGGCTCAAGTGGTAGCGCGCTAGCCTTGAGCTAAAGAGCTGAGGGACAGCGCCCAGTCCCAGAGTTCAGGCCCCATGACCGGACCAAAAAAAAAAAAAAAAGCACGTTCTTTGTAGTTGTATCTGACCTTTTTCTCTAAGACCAGAATTCTGGATAGACAATTTAGATATTACCTGGTACTAATCAGGAAATACATGGTATTTATATTTAAAATGAACTTAGTTGTATTTAATGACCTCATTTCTGAGTTCCTTTTCCATTAAAATAGTTCTCATTCCCTTATTACTGTTTTAATAATATGAATAAGTAGGAGATTTGTACCTGTAGACCCTCTACTTAAAATCCTTGGTCCTTTAGCACTTGTTCAAAAGAATTTGCCATTTGCTGTAACTTAAAGGGTTCTAATTTCAAAAATTTTACTGTGAAATAGTACAATGATAATGATGTGAAAAGATGCAATGTAAAGTTCATAGGAGTAGTACCTACTGTTTATGGCTCTGATGAAAATGAAAAATGTGGAAATAGGAAAAATTCCTTGATAAATGAAACATCTTTTACATATACATCTAATATATAAACTATAATCCTGTTGCATTCCTTCTGTTCCTACAAATGCATTAAACACTCAGTTTAAAAAGGGGGGGGGATTGGGAGGGGCAGCGTAGAGATGGTACTGTGGTTTGAAATCTGAGCTCATAAACTTTCCTTCTTGGGATGGCTTCCATCACAAATACTCAGATCTCAGCCTACTGAGTAGCTAGGATTACAAACATGAGCCACCAGCAACCAGCTAAGTACTATTTCGTCTACAAACAAAATGATCTCAATGAAAATCTTGGTAACTATTAGCATATAAAAAAAGAAGAGGGACTGGGAAGGTGGCTCAGTGGTAGAGTGCTTGCCTTGCATGCATGAGGCCCTAGGTTCAATTCCTCAGCACCACATAAGCAGAAAAGGCCCGAAGTGGTGCTGTGGCTCAAGTGGTAAAGCGCTAGCCTTGAGCTGAAGAGCTGAGGGACAGTGCCAAGGCCCAGAGTTCAGGCCCCATGACCAGGGGGCAGGGGCAGAATACTGTTAAACATTCCTTTTTTCTTGTTTGTTGTTTTTTGCCAGTCCTGGGGCTTGAATTCAGGGCCTGCCATTGTCCCTGAGCCTCTCTGTGCTCAAGGCTACACTCTACCACTGAGCCACATTCCTAGTCCTAAACATTCCTTTTTTGAACATAAATTTAAGACTTTTACGAACTTACCTTTGCCAGTACTTCAGGGGAAACTTCCTCATCTGGAGACCATAATTTTCCATTCTTTTCACCTGTTGACTATAGACACCAGAAGAAATTAGCTTGTATTAAAGAACATTTTTAAAGTTGAGAAATGTTTTCAGAAAACCTATAGCAAAAGCTATAGGTCTAAAAATGTTATATAAAATAGTATGGTCCATACTGCAACAAGATTAAGATAGTGAGCGATGGGAATAAAAAAGAACATCCAAACAACTGTTACTGCATTTATATGGTCAATTCATTTCTAACTGGGCTCGCTTGAAACTTCAATCTTGAGGTCTCAGCTTCCTGAGCAGCTAAGATTATAGTGGTAAGCTACTGGAGCCAGTTTGACAAGGCTTTTATAAGGAAGTCTCAACTCAACTACAAGTGGTTATAGAATTGAGTAAATAGCTCTCCAAAGATACACAGATGGCAATCAACCAAGTAGATGAAAGCGGTCTTCAACATCATTTATATAGGTAATACAAATAAAAACAATAATGAGATTAGACACATGTATCTCATGGAATGCTACTCAGTAGGTTGAGATCTGATGAAAATAGTTTGAAGAAAGCCCAGGCAAGAAAGTCCAATTATCAGTTAAAAAAGCCAGAAGTAGAGTGGGGCTCAAGTAGTAGAAGAGTATCCTTGAGTTCAACACCCAGGCCTGGAGTTCAAGCCCCAGTACCAGCACAAAACAAACAAAAAAAACAAAGCAAACCTATAATGAATTACTACTTCATACCCAATAGCACAAATATTACTCTGTTAAGAAATACCAAGTATGAAGACAACTTGAACCTTCAAGTATTGTTGGTGAGAATGTAAAATGGTACAGACAGTGTGGAAAACGGTCCAGTGGAGGCTCAAAAAGTTAAACATTCAAACTGGATGCTGGTGGTTCACACAGATAATCCCAGCTACTCAGGAGGCTAAAATCTGAGCATTACTATTCAAACCCAAAGCCCTCCTGGGAAAGGAAATTCTATGAGACTCTTATCTCCAATTAACCACCAAAAAGCTAGAAGAAGGGCTGTGGATCAAGTGGTAGAATATGAGCCTTAAGCACAAAAGTTAAGAGATAGTATCCAGGCCTTGAGTTGAAGCCCTAGTACCAGAACAACAACAACAAGTTCAACACAAAATGAGCATGTGATCTACCCATTTTGCTATCAGGCACATACTCCAAATATCAGAAAACAAGTAATGAAATGTACCTATCAGCTTTGCAAGCATTATAACATTGGAAACAAGTGTCTATCAATAAATGAATACACAAAATATGAGCTATAAACAGAAAGGAGTATGTTTCAGCCATAAAAGTAACATGGTTAACTTGCTTAGTGAAATAAATGAAATACCAAACAAGCATTACTTTATGAGATATCTAGAATCAGTCAATTCATAAAGCCAAAAAAAACCCAGCTGTAATGATGGGCTATGGCAAAGAGCAATGAGGATGTTAATGAGTACAGAATCATCTATTTGAGATGATAAATGAGATCTGCAGATAGATGGATGGTGGTGGTGATTAGTGACTGCATACCTAAAATGGCAAAATCTGTATTATACAATTTGAGCATAATTACAAAACATTTGGTTAATGGGTATAAAGAAGCATGTGGACAGAACTACTAATATCCTATAACACAGTAAAGGATAACTAGAATAAACAATAATGGAATTATTTCAAAATTGTTTTTAAACAGGATTTAGAATGTTTACAAGAGTAATATAAGCCTAAGATGAAAAACTTACCAATTACCCTGATCTGACCATTACATATTGTGTACATATATTAAAATATCATACTACATGTTATTTTATCTATCACTATGTGTAAGTATTTGTCTATCAAAAATAAAATGCAGGGGCTGGGAAGGTGGCTCAGTAGTATAGCGCTTGCCTTGCATGCATGAGGCTCTGGGTTCGATTCCTCAGCACCATATAAGCAAAAAAGAAAAAAGCTGGAAGTGGCGCTGTGGCTCAAGTGACAGAGCGCTAGCCTTGAGCTGAAGAGCTGAGGGACAGCACCCAGGTCCAGAGTTCAGGCCACACGACAGGACCAAAAAAAAAAAAAAAAAGCATAAAAGGAATTAGGAATTAGCAGAAGTACTCTAAATACAAAAGACACACTGGTTAAGTATCCAAGATAACTAAATATATGGTTAGGAAAGATTTGGATAGTTTGCATTTGTGATAAATTAAAACAAAGTCATCCACACTGAAAAATTTTAAGAATAGTTTGTGTCCTTTTCAATAACTCTTCAATTTATATCCATTTGGTAAAGTAGAAATCCTTCCTTTGCTTTCTTTCACTTTTGAAACAGGGTCTTACTATGTGGTTCTGAGCTTGTGATCACCTGACTCCCAAGCAGTCTTTGTTTTGTTTTTCTTTACATGCTAGTACTGGAGCTTGAACTCAGAGCCTGCGTGCTACCCCTGAACTTACTTTCTTTTCATTTTTTTGTCAGTCATGGAGCCTGAACTCAGTCTGGGTGCTGTCCCTCAGTTCTTCAACTAGCTCTCTATCACTTGAGCCACAGCACCACTTCCAGCTTTTTCTGCTTATGTGGTGTTGAGGAATCAAACACAGGGCCTCATGCATGCAAGGTGAGCACTCTACCACTTCCCAGCCCTGCCCCTGAACTTTCATGCTCAAGGCTAATGCTCTACCACTTAAAGCACAGCTCAACTTATGATTTTTTTGGTGGTTAATTGGAGGTAAGTTTTATACTTTCTTGCCAGGACTGGCTTCGAACAGTGTTCCTCAGAGCTAAACGTTCTGAGTAGTTAGGATTATAGGAGTGAGCAATCAGCAACCAGCCCAAGTAGTGATTCTTAATCAGATTATATTTCTGAAATGACATGGTGAAGCTTCCCTATTTATACATTCTTGGGTTCCAATCTAAAAGTAAAAACACATCCATACATAGTTCAATATCTGAAAACAATATGTAAGTCTAATGCCAAATGTGTAATAAAATTAGTAAAATTCAAATCCATTAATATTTTTAGTAATGATAGAAACAAGAGCGGTAGAAAAGGCAACAATAGAACTCTAGAAAACTGTTAATGTACAGTAATAGTATCTCAATTTTATCATTCATCTCTCATTTCCTTCCTTCCTCCATTGAAACAAGACTTTACAGCCTGGGTACTACTGACTCAAGTGGTAGCCTTGAGCAAAAAAGCTCAGGTATATATGCAAGCCCTGAGTTCAAGCCCCAGGACCAGAACATACATAAAACCCTCCCAAAACAAGGCTTCCCTATGTAGTCTGGCTGGATCCAAACTCTACATATTTCTGCCTCAGTCTTCTGAGAACTATAATTACAAGTGCTCCAAACCACAATAGTCTTCTTAAATTTCTATTTTTGGGGGGTCAGTTGTGATGCTTGAACTCAGGGCCTGGGTACTATCTATGAGCTCTTTCCCTCCTAGTACCCTACCACTTTCAGCCACAGTGCCATTCTGGTTTTCTAGTGGTTAACTGGAGATAAGAATCTCACAGGGACTTTCAGTCTGGGCTAGCTCTGAATCATGATCCTTAAATCTGAGCCTCCTAAGTATCGAGGATTACAGTCATAAGTCACTGGTGCCCAGCTTTAAAATCTTTCTTAAAAGGTTACCTCTGGCAATAGGTATCTCAAACACAGAAAGTGTTTGGGATAATTTAAATGGAAAAGTGTGGAGGTGAAAGTACAACTAAGTGGAAAAGATATGGTTAGTAAGATCAGTTCTTAAAATACATCACAACACACAAAAAGACTGAGAGGAAGAGAAGGAGATGAAGAAGTGAAGAGATTTCAGAAAAATAAAATGCTTCTGTGAAAAGGTGTAGTCAATTCATTTAATTAAATGAGAAACTTACCCTGTCATTCATTAGTAGATCTTTCACAATAAAATTTGCTACTACAGATTTCATTGGGGAAGCAAACTGATCAGGTGCCAACATAGAAATGTGACCTAGTGAAACTAATGGAGTAATAAGTTGTTCTGGTACATCAGCATTCAAACTCCTACTGAGTGGCTAAAAAAGTAAAAGAAACAATTACCAGTCTGTTTTATAAACATTTACATATTCTATAATAAAAATTTCCTTAGGCCCCCAAAGTTTTCCTTATCAATTTATTTTAATGATCTGACAATAACTGACTTAAGCCATATTAGGTATTTGGTTTTTAACTTACCTACTTAAATTTAACAAAATTGAAAGAGTGTACAGTAAAATAAATAAGGCTGTGGCTCAAGAGGTAGAGGCCTAGTCTTGAACTGAAGAGCTGAGGGACTGCACTTAGGCCCAGAGTTCAGGCCCCACGACCGACTAAATAATTAAATAAATAGATAGATAGTGAAATAAGAACAGTCATATCAAATGTGCATTAGTTTCTGCCACTCTACATTATGTCTGCTAAATTGATGGATTTATTATTCTGTGAGGACATTTTATATAATCATCAATCATAAAAAGTAAGTTTTATGTTTATTATCCTCAATGTATTAAAAAGAAAGAAATCAAACCAGCGTTGGTGGCTCAGGAAGCTGAGATCTGAGGATCACAATTCAAATCCAGGCTGGGAAGGTGGCTCAGTGGTAGAGCGCTTGCCTTGCATGCCTGAGGCCCTGGGTTTGATTCCTCAGCACCACATAAGCAAAATGAAAAAAGCCAGAAGTGGTGCTGCGGCTCAAGTGGTAGAGCACTAGCCTTGAGCTGAAGAGCTGAGGGACAGTGCCCAGGCCCAGAGTTCAGACCCCATGACTGGACAAAAAAAAAAAATTAGAAAAGATGTATTTTTAGAAAAGTTTGGTGATGTCAAATGAAATGATGCCTTGACAAGGTTATCTTATAATGAAGGACTAGACTTCAATAGCAACATACAAGGCCCAAGTTGTACACCCTCAATCAAAAAAGCTGAGACATATGTTGCTAAGGATAAGTTTGATTTTATATTTAGGAAATGCTTCAAGATGTTTTCCATGGATATTTGATTATGAATATATATTGTCATGTTCAAATATCCACCCTTGACTCAGCATAATTTAGTCTCTCTTTGTTAACTCAGGAGAGTAACATTTTTTACTAGCACCAGTGAATAACTAAAGACACAGTTTTGATTAAACTCTTCATTAAACATAGTATTAATTCATCCTGGAAAACCTGTAATGTTAATAAGTGAGCAAACTCTATGCTTTATTTATGGAGTGCTAAAATCAAATGGTGTCATCAGGGCTAGTATTGAAGCCTTTGGTGGTGTGTTTCTGTTTTCCATTAATTTCTTCTTGCCCCAACCATTCTTTCTTCTCTCCCCATTTTTTTCTTCCTTCTGTGTGTGTGTGTGTGTGTGTCTGTCTGTCTGTGTGCACGCACACACACTAGACCTGGGGCTTGAACTCTGGTCCTGGGCACTATCCCTGAGTTTTTTACTCAAAGCTAGTGGTCTACCACTTGATCCACAGCTTCAATACCAAACTTCTGGTGGCTAACTGGAGATACAAGTCTAATGGATTTTCCTGCCTAGACAGCTTTGAACTGTCAACCTCATGCATAGTTAAGATTAGAGGTGTGAACTACCGGGACCCACGCTTGACTATATATATTTATCTACTTCTTCTCTTGGGATACAATTCTTTTAGGGATAGATACTGTGATTAGGAACTAATGGCTCACACGTATAATTCTACTCAGGAAGCTGAGATGTGAGGATCAAGGTTTATAGTCAACTAGGCAGGTAAATCCAAGAGACTCACTGCCAATTAACCAGCAAAAAGTCAGAACTAGAGGTGTTGCTCAAGTGGCAGAGCACCAATCTTGAGAGAAAGAGTCAAGAGGGAGTAGAAAGTCCTGAATACTTTGATTTTAACAAATAAACAGGAAAAACAGCAGGGTGGGAATGTGGCTTAGTGGTAGAGTGCTTGCCTAGCATGCATGAAGCCAGAAGTGGGACTGTGGCTCACTCAAGTGGTAGAGCGCTAGCCTGTAGCAAAAGAAGCTCAGGGATAGTACTCAGGCCCCAAGTCCAAGCCACAGACAGGACTAGCACAAAAAAAAAAAAAAAAAGGGAAAGGAAAACAGGTTATTTTTTCTTTGTTGCTGCTTCTGTTTTCTTTTCCTTCTTTTTTGCTTATTGTTCTGTCTTTGGGAGCTTAAGGGAAGAACCACAGAAATAGAGGGATAAAAGGTGAACAAATACAGCAGTGGTACTCAACAGACACTATTCTAGCTTGTGGGTCGGGACAGGAGACAAACAGATTGAAAGAAGGGGTGACACTGTCCAAAAAGAAATGTACTCTCTCCTGACTTAATGAGACTATAATCCCTCTGCATATCACCTTTATAAAATTTTATTTAAAAATAACATGTAAGATAAAAAAAGGGACAGCTTTTTCTCTTTAAAGAAGTCAACAGTTAGCCAGGCACCAGTGATTCACGCCAGGAGTCTGCGATCTGAAACCAGCCTGGGCAAGAAAGTCCCTGAGACTCTTATCTCCACCAAACTACTCAGAAAAAGCCAGAAGTGGTGTTGCTCAACTGGTAAAGCACTAGCCTTGAGCACAAAGAAGCTCAGGGACATGGCCCAGGTTGAGTTCAAACCCCAGGACCCATTAAAAAAAAAAAGTCAACAGAAACTCTTTCCTAGAGTGTTATATTTTCAGATAATGTATACATAAAAATTATCACGAAACTATCAACTCCTGGAAAGCATTGATTGATAGGTAAAGAGACTGTACAGTAAATATTGAATTACTTTACATATTAGCTCACAAGTTTAAAACTTCAGGAGTCTGCTTGTATTATCCTATGAGAAAAAACTTGTTTTTTATAATTTACATTTTTCTTGAGCATGAAAATATGATTCAACAGAAATTAGCACTGTTTTTCCTTTAAAAAATGTATTTTAAATCTAAATAGAAACACTCAGGAAAAGTTGGACCGTAAGATACCAAGTGGTAGAGTGCTTCTCTTGCATGCATGAGACCCTGGGTTTGATTCCTCAGCACCACATAAGCAGAAAAGGGCAGAAGTGGCACTGTGGCTCAAGTGGTAGAGGTAGAGCACTAGCCTTGAGCTGAAGAGCTGAGGAACAGAGCCCAGGCCCAGAGTTCAGACCCCATGACCGGCCGCCAAAAAAAAAAAGATACCAAATGAAAATATACCAAACTACTGAACTGAACTCATCTTCTCTTTTTTTTCCCAGTACTGCATTTTTTTCAGGGTTTTGTACTCGCTAGGCAGATACCTTACCACTCACTTGAGCCCATCATTTGTCCTCTTCAGTGTTTCTGCCTAGAACAGCCTACACAAAACCAAATGTTTTTTAAAAATAGTTTTTGTAACTCATCTCCCAACTAGTTATACTATAATGCTCATCCAACAATGTTCTTCATTTTTGTGAGTAATGTTACTTCAAAATAAGTAGCTAATAAATACCTATAAAGCATCAGTTGAATGCTTGCTCTTTTAACCTGATAGTACAGGAAGGTAGCAGCTATTAAGTTTATAACCAAGTTATTAAGAAAAAGGTACTGCAATCTAATGGTAATGGAGTAAGGCAGGGGACAAATAAAACACCTCAACTGAGGTGTATACTCACGATCGGATCTGGGGAAGGTCTGTTTCTATTTTGTGGCCTGTATTTCTAAAGATTTGTATTGCAGCTTCTGCTACCTTGTCATCCTCCATTCTTAGGCACTGTAACAAGGACTCATATGTCTCTGCAGAGTGGAACGAGGTAGGATGTGTGAAAGACAGAACCTGGAGGAATAGATGTAGCTTTAGGAGTATAGACAACTGTTCTAATCCATTATAAAAGAATTAGGTATATTTCAGTATGGGAATATTTATTTAAAGTAAAAGCTTCACATTTAATGACTCAATCTTTGTGTGATATAAATAAAGCTTCCATTTATTTTAGTGTCAAAAAGATAATCTAAATAGAAATTAGTTAAGCAAAATCTACCACCTAAAGTTCACTCATAGTTAACTATCAACAAAGAAGTCATCATTGTAAAGTTTTTTTTTTTTTTTTTTACCTGTTCTGGAGCTGGAACTCAGGGCCTGGGTGCTGTCCCTGAGCCTCTTTGTGCTCAAGGCTAGCACTCTTATCACTAGAGCTACAATGCCACTTCTGGCTTTCTCTGAGTAATTTATTGGAGATAAGAGTCTCACAGACTTCTCTGCCCAGGCTGGCTTCAAACCCATTATAAAGTTTTAATTACAAGTATAAAAATATATCCTAGCTGGGTGCCGGTGGCTCACACCTATAATCCTAGCTACTTAAGAGTTTAAGATCTGAGGATTGCAGTTCAAAGCCAGCCCTAGTAGGAAACTCCGTGAGACTCTTATTTCCAATAAACCACTCAGAAAACCGAAGTGGTGCTGTGGCTCAAGTGATAGAGCGCTCACCTTGAGCTGAAGGGCTGAGGAACAGTGCCCAGGCCCAGAGTTCAAGCCCCACGACTGACAAAAATAAATAAATAAGTTCCAAGCTACCCTTGGTCATGCGGCGAGAACTTGTCTAAACAAAAAAACAAAAAACAGACACACACACACACACACACACACACACACACACACACACACACACAAAAGGAAAAAAGAAAAAGGAAAAGAAATAAATAAAGCAACCAAAGAGAGAAAAGTTCACAAAACACAACCCCAAAACAACATAAAAAGGATGTATGTGGGCTGGGAAAGTGGCTTAGTGGTAAGAATGCTTGCCTACAATTCCTCAGTACCACATACTCACAAAAAGCCAGAAGTGGTGCTGTGGCTCAAGTGGTAGAGCTCTAGCCTTGAGCAAAAGCAGATCTGGGACAGCACACAGGCCCTGAGATCAAGCTCCAGGACTGACAAAAAACTTGAAAGAAATAATTAAGATCATCTCAGTATAATCAGGTCACTTTCTTTTCTACCGAACATTGCCCTGGTTTCTCTTCAACTTTTGTTACCACTACTTCAATAACTTATTGCTCAATTAAATGGAAGAACTATTACATTTAGCATCTGGTAAAAAAGACACCTTCCTGCTCCT